TGACAATCAATTGCAATCTTTCTACTTCGTTTACTTTTTATAAACAATAAAGTATCAAGCAAGTTATTCGATTGCCTTTGTTTCGTAATTTTTCACTACTACATAACTTTATACTATTTAAAATTTAACTTTCTGAATTTTTATATTGGATCAAATATGTTTTCACTATGGTTCCCTTCAAATGTAACGTGGACTAAGAATATTTGGTCCTGTTAAATTAGCCTTTCCTCTATTTTTAATATCTTTGTCAATTCTGTGAGAATTAATTTCCTTGCCTTCGAAACAAATTTCTTATTAAGAATAAACATTTTGTTTCTAAAACGCAATAAAATTTTTATTTAATGTATATACATACATAATTATGTATATATATATATATATATATATATATATATATAGATAGATATAATTATCAGTTTTGATATACAATTTAAAAGGCAATTTCATAATGAAGTTGGAAATAAGTGTGGTTAAGTGATTAAGGAAAATAGTTTTACTCTCAAACGAATGAAATTTTGATTTTTGCGATGAAAAGTTGAATCCAGTGACGAAAGCTCCATGGATATGCAGAAGCACGTGACTGAAGTTTGACACAATTTAATTATATATTATGTTGTTGTAAATTGATAATCTTCATTTAATTCATTGAATTAAATTCATCTTGTTAGTAAAGATAATCAATTAATAACGTTGTTATCCTATAAAATTAACTTGTTTATTCTAAAAACGTTCATTTAATATATAAAATAAATATAAATTACATACTTAATTACATCATTACGCAAAATTTACTCTTATAATTGTTATCCAATGGTATATACATTTTGTTATATTCCTCAAATAGAAATTGTGAATTACTAATTCTTAACTAAATTTCTCATTTCCGAATAGATATTGTATTGTATTAATTATAATTATGAAGAATGCAGATATAAGTAATTTGTAGGGAGTATAAAATAAATAAAAACAACTATGATACAAAAACATTGATTATATATTTGATTAAATATATATACATATACATGTACACACACGCGCGCACGCACACTTACCGCGCGCGCGCGCATCCACACACACATATACACGCACGCATATGTGTATGTATGTATATATATATATATATATATATATATATATATATATACATACATACACATATGCGTGCGTGTATATATATTTATATATAAAAGATGAAAATTACTAAATGCTCAATACAAATAACTGTAAAAATCTATAATTCTGATTCATTCGATAGACGCTGGAGATGATGTTACACATAAAAAATGTATGATTAAATAATTCATCTCAAATACTTCACAGTTTTGAGAAATAATTGTTTCTTAAAAATGTAAAAAAAGTGTCGCATGTAGTTTTATGTATCGAAAATACTATAAAGATTTTAATTGTTTATTAAAAGTGATTATTTTTTTAATTAATATATCAAGTATTATTTAAAATTCATATGCAATTGACACTTGTGAAAACGTGGCTTTATTTCTGTACATACGAAGATATATCGGTTTTCTTACTTTTATAGTAATTATTATAAAATGATCAATTGTAGCTTTATCAATTGGAGTCAAACACAAGAAATTCTTGGCTGTTCATATTTACTTATGTCGCCAATATTTATTGTAAAGAGGCTTGTGTGGCTTAATGACGCGATGTTTCTTAATGGCAATCAATTGTACGAAAATAAAACGAAAAGGACTGATTATTATAAGCAAACGGTGTCATTCCACTGATAAAGGTGATCCTGGGAAACGAAGAAAGCACGAGTCGGACACGAATTGTAAAAGTTATGAATAGATATGGGAAGAGAGGGTGAGTGGGGTCGACAGAAAGAGAGAGAGAGAGAGAGAGAACGTGTGTGTGTGAGACACAGAGGAAGAGTGGAAAAGTGCACAGGCCATATTATTATTTTAATTGTAGCACATATACTATCAAAGCAAGTTATTAAAATTACGCTGGTACGATGAGATTCACGATTGCACGATAAATTTTTTTTTTATCTTATTGAATTTAATTAATTATAATAATTTCATTCAAGTTTATGAACTTCCTATAAGTTGCTAGATACGAAATTTTGTCGGATCGAATATTTCATGTAAACAATATTTATCTCAAAGTATTTTAAGATTAAGATTTAAAAACAAATCTAGTTTGCGCTTATCTGCAGTTTGATTTTTGAGTTTCTCCAAATTCTGGATTATTCTTTCTCTTTTCACGTCATCGATTATTTATAATAGGCGTCGCTTGAAAAGGTCCACGAGCCTCTTTACAATATCTCTATATTGATATATATGCGTGTATATATACACATACATACATACATACATACATACATACACACACACACACACACACACATACACACATACATATATATATTAATATTAAAATTAATTATAAAAATTATCATACACGCTTTTCTTTAATTACACGAATCATATTATTTATTATATTGTTTCATTTTTTCATTATATAAAGTGTCCTTATGTCCCTATTTTACTTCACTGTCACAGGCAAATATGAAAATATTAACGCGTGATTAATGTAATTAAAAAAAAATCATTTAAATATATAACTAAAACGTGTATATTTTCATATTTGCTTGATTAAAAGTCTTATCTCATAATTTTTATACATTCAACGTGTAAGATTGTATGAAATTATACATATATACGTTGAAATTTTATTTCCAGTAGTACTGAATACTTAGAAGTAATTAATAATCTAAAAATTTGAACAGTAACAAATAAAAATGTAATACATGAATTTATTTTAATTATCCCCAATAGCGTATATGTTGTAAAAAATTTTTAATATAAAACTTTAATAGAAAATAACTAATAAATTATTTTTATAATCTATCACTCTACGATAGCTTAGTCATAGGCAATTTATCATTATTAATTATTATTATTATTATTATTATTATATATATATATATATATATATATATATATATATATATATATATATTATGAATTAATACCGAACATTAGAATTTTAGCAAATATTTTAATATCTCTTTTTTTTATGATTTTGGTATAATAATAATAATCTTCACCACTTGTTGGTATTGATTTTACAGTAATAACACTGATAAAGTCATTTCGATATTATTTTCGTTTTATAAAATTATTGATAAAATAAAAACTTGATACTTTTTAATAAAAAAAGTTTATTAATTAGATCAAATTTTTGGTATATGTTTAAAAATATAAGGTACAAATATAAGGTACTTTTTAATCAATAAGTCTGCATAAGAAAAAGACAAACTTTAAACGTAGTTTTTTTCAGTTGCGAACACAATTTCACTGAAAATCTTTAATCAATTTGAAATTTTCCAAAATTTAATCTACTCATGATTATCTCCACGCAGATACAAGAAATAATTTTATCTATTTTTTATTTATTTTTCTTTTTAATTTAAAAATACAAATAAGTCTTGCAAGTTTGATACTTTCGTTTTAAACGTCCATTTTCTTATTTCTTAAAAAATTCATTACTTCTAACTCCTGCGGTAATGATAACAATATTAATTATCATTATATTATCTTAATTTCATTTACATTAAATTGAGCCAATATCGTGTTCGCAATGAATTATAATTTTTGATAATTTGTCATTTTAGCAGAAGTAAATATGAAATTTAATCTGATTTTTTTTTCTTATTTCTAAAATAATTCGCCAAATAAAATTAAATAAGAATTTGACTATAAATGAAATGCCTTGTTAGGGGGCAATTTGAAATATGAAAATGATTTGCAAATGTAAAAAAAGGGTGAAATCTGTCCTTTTTCAGGGCGTCGTATAAAGAAGCTCATATTATGAATGAAATAATAAAATTACAACGCATTGATCCGTTAAAATAGCGTTTATCGCAATAATATTGCTAAATAATTTATATGTTCTGAAAAGTCGACGAATAAATGGCACCTTTTAAAAACTTATTCTTCATATCTTTTAATGGCCCAACAGTGTATTTTATATTTATTTCTATAAATCTTCTAATTTTTGTAAATAAAAATGATGCTTATAATAAAATTTTTTTGTAAATTCTTTGACAACTCAGTGTTATCAATGTAAATCTTATTTTTAAAAGTTGCTGCCGTATATTTTTACACAAGTCATGCGTACGTTAAATGCGAGTAAACATCACACATTATTTATCAGTAAATTAGCCTACGTATTAGTTTGTCGAAAATAATCGATAAAGTCAATTCATTATATGCTTAGACAATATTTAAATGCATTGCAGTCAGTGTTGAGTAAAGAATATTTTATCTAAAATTATATTGCTCGTAAGTGTAAAAATTATCAGTGACGAAAAATTAATCGTTAATCGCAATAAAACGCTTTCTTATAGACAATAAATCGTAATAGAAGAAACATCATGATTAGAAAATTCAACATTTAATAATCGCATTATAAATCGGAATTTTTTTAATCAATAAAATAAATTACTATTTAAAACTACAAGGTAACATTCATCGATCCATTTAGTTCCCCTATCTTTAAAAATTCATCTTCGTCGCTTCATTTATAGATTCTGGGCCAATAATACATCGAATAAAGTAAAATAAACTCGTATCGACCGAAAAAAAACGTACAAAAAAACGCGTGTGTAGCTCTTAAAAAAATTTCACCATTAATTTCAAGACTACCGCTTGTTTTTCTTATCTTTTTCTTTTTACACACACGCACACGCATATATATATATATACATATATATATATATATATATATATATATATATATATACGCGATTTGGTATTTATTTCTCGTTAGCAGGTAGGAGAGTACAAGTTTCGTTTACGCTTAGCAGCTGCCAAAATGCAGAAGTAAATGTATGCAGCATGTGAGCATGTGCTTTATTTTCGATAAAGTGACATTCATCCACGTACATATGAGTTAATGAGACGATAGGTGTGAGTATAGAGGCAAGATACTCAGAACGTGTATACGCTTTAAATAATATGCACGAAGTCCAGGGTGTCGGGAGCCTTGGGACGTATCGCGTGCTCTGGCGTGGCGTAAAATTCAGCCAACGAGCCGTCACGGAATTATTGTTTGGAGAGTCTCGTCTCGGTGAGGACTTTGCTGGGGTCGGGCAGCCTGACGACGAGCTGGGCCCCATTCTGAATGGGCCTCGTGCCGTTCGCGGGTCCGTTGCACTTGAGTGCCGGCTGGTGATGGGGCATGACGACCGCGGGCAGAACTTTCTTGGCGCCGCTGAGCTTGGGCGAGCAGCACTGCTTGTCGTCGTAGTCGGGGACGAGGGGCCCGTTCGTGGCCTTGTAGCCGAGTTTCATCGGGGTGACGCCGGCCTGCTCGGGATAGGTGACGCCGTAAGGGCCACAGTTGTTACCGACCCCGTTCCCGTTCGTGTACGGCTGCTGCTGGGTATTACAGTGGAAGTTCGGCGACAGGATTTTCATGACGTTGCCCGGCTGCTCGGGCGTCGTCGTCGCTCCCGAGGCGAGACCGTACATCGTCTGGCTGTCTGGCGCGTGCTTGTTCATTGAGAGCTGCGCCTGCTGATTCCTGGTTAGAGAATCGCTTTTGTAGATTGGCGCGGAGAGCTGAGTCGAGTTTGTTTTGTTGGTGCTCTTGTGACTGCTGCCCGAGTAACTTGTTATCGACTCGCAAAACTCACTGAGGTATGTTTGATTGACGTACCAGTTGTGCAGTCGGTGATGGATCTCGGGGAACTGGGGTCGGCGATTCGCCACCTCGTGCCAGCACTCGATCATCAGACTATAGATCATCGTTGGACAGTCCTCCGGGCAGGGGAGTAGCTGCCGCGAGCGAATCATGTCGATAACTTCTTGATTGTTGTATCCGTAGTATGGCTGTAAAAATTTTTTTCATCATTTTTATAATGACAGGGCCTTTCTTTCATCTTTTTACAACGTGATACTGATAATATTGGAGGAAGAGTGGGGGGGGGTAGTTGTACGATTGCATTTAATATGCATTGAATAATTCTTGGGAAAGAAATGTCAAGTTTGGGAGTAACTATGTGAGAAATGTTATATTTATTGCACGTTTCAATAATGGATTGGATGACAGATGAATAAATATGGCTTTGTAAAATTAATTTTGCAAATTGCAATGAAAGGATGCCGAATAGAGGACAATCTGAGAAAGGGCTGCTAAGAGGCAAGAGCAGCTTTAAACAATTAGAAAATCTTTTTTTTATCCATTTGGTATTAAATAGCCAGGGGGTGAATAATTCTTTACAATTTACCTGTAAGCCGTAGCTATAAATTTCCCACAAAACAACTCCGAAACTCCAAACATCCGACTCTGTTGTAAATTTGCCATATAGTATTGATTCGGGTGGCATCCACCTCACTGGAAGCAAGCTTTTTGATTGTACTCGATAGTAGTCGCTGCTGTAGATATCGCGAGAGAGACCAAAGTCGGAAATTTTTACTGTCAAATTATCACCAACCAAACAATTTCTCGCTGCTAAGTCTCTGTGAACGTAATGATGGCTGGCCAGGTATTCCATTCCTTGAAAAAAAAAAAAAAAAAATTCCTTTAAAAAAAAAAAAAAAAAAAAAAAAAAAAAAAAAACCATCAATATTAGTAACTGGCATTTCGTAACAGTTCGTTGTGATAAAAAAATAATTCTCTACAAATACGCTCTAATAATATTCTTATTTCGTTCAAATAAGAACATAATTCGGAATATTTACCCGATGCAATTTGAAGAGCTATATGTAGAAATTCGGGCTGCTCTAAAACTTTTCCATTTACGTTATTTAAAGGGACATCGGATCTCGGTGAATGACAAATTAAAAATTCATGCAGATCGCCTTGAGTCATGTATTCAAAAAGCATACACATTGGCTCGCCATTAAGTATCACACCAAGCAAGCATATGATATTTGGATGCCTGAGATCTGTCATTAGATCAACTTCGCGTTTAAAGTCGCTCTGAGTCTTCGGACTTGCGTTTTCCTTCAATGTCTTAACAGCTACGTAAATTATTTCGTCAGATTTATTTCCAGTCTGTAATTCTCCTTTATAAACTTTTCCTATAAAATGTAAATTCTCATGTTACATAAGGAACGTAAGGTGAATAATAATTGTATGCTCAAATTAATATCAATTAATATTTTGGATCGTGAATATCTTCTTCTTTCAAGACAAAAATTTTGTATTTATCTTGTAAAAATATTTGTCAGGATGAGATAATATTAGGTTTTGTTTTTGATTTCCTTTCTTTTTTGTACACAATATAAAAATAGTATTTTCTACACTATAGATTGCAAAGTTATTTCTCATGATTTTATCGATCTATTAAAGTTGATAAAAATTATAATTGACACATTGATAAACGTAGTGCAATTATTAATAAAAATATGCTGTTCTTTATCAATTACTCGATCATATTTTTAATATACGATTTATTTTAGTGTTATAAAACATCATTAAATATGAATGTGAAACTTGTAAATGGTATTTTTAAACTAAAGATGCACGTAAAAACTTGTTAAGGGTAAAACTAATGGATATCCCATCATCGGTAATTGGTAACATAAGTAACAATAATGCATTGATTTCGTACCAAATGCTCCCTCTCCCAATTCTTGTAATAACATGACATTATTTATTGTAAATTGTGGCACACGATTATTGGAAGTTCTACTACTTCCACTGCTTAATGTACCAGTACCAGGGGTAGTGTTACCGGGTCCAGCTAAAAGTGAGCTCATCTCCATTGGTTGTGTCGTATTACGTCTTCCATCGTATATATTTTTGTCGCACTGCAATCCAGTTAACATCTACAAGAAGACAAATATTGAATGTACATTTTCTTTTTCTTCCAATTTAATTTTTGTTATTATGTGTCGGTAAAGTAAAGCGCTCGAATTGTCGGCACGTGGTTGAAAATCAATATTTACAAGCTGAAAAATCGTCAAAAGCATTGTATTGCGAAGTATTGCGCGATATCTACGTGATACTACGTAAACTAAAAGGTAAAGATAAATAAACAAAGCAAGAAAAAAAAAAGAAAAAAAAAAAGAAAAAAAAAAGGAAAATGTCAATATGATTATAAATTGATGCAAATATTAAATAAATAAAAAGCCGTTAACGTAGAAAATTGCTTTGCCGACAATCATCTTGTATAATTCAATGGTGCATATGAAAATTCGTTGTGCATAATAATTATAAATTTTATGAATCACTTGGTGATAATTATATGTTGACAGCTATGCACTTATACAGAGGCGCGCGCTAATAATCGTTTATTTAATAATTTTTTATGTTTTATTTGTACACGTGATTATCGTATCACTGGCACAAATGGAGATTAATTTTTATATCTTTTTAAATTAATATCATTCCGATCGATTATTAATTCTGTTTGAATTTCAATTTTCAATTTTCAATCCAATTATGATTTCAATAAAATTAATAATGACAAGAAACATAAATTGCAACTTTTGAAATGCAATAAATTGTTTTTCAAGCTTACTTTATTTGTTGGTAAGTGGTTAGTCTGTCTCCTGGATTTTCTGCTTTTATAGCAACAACAATAACAAACTAATATAATTACAAATCCTCCAGTAAGTACAAACCCAACAACAGCATAAACCCATAAGTTTTCAACTGAAAGTAAAAGTTATTCGTTATTAATTTTCAAAGTCCAACTGAAAATTAAATAAGTGTCTCATAAGAAATAACTGCGCATATTTCATTGTATTTTATTTTATTCTTTAAATAATTTAAGAGCTCGAATGCATAATTGTCTAAATTAGTAATTAGTTCTTACACGTTTTAACAAACTACACAAATTATTGAAAACTTTCTTTTTCCTTAAGAGACCAATAAGATTTATACAAAATTCCGTATTCATTTACTTACCACATTTAGGTATATTACATATCTCTTTCTGACTACGATTATTCAAATCGACGTAACACCAGGGCTGTGGTTCGGTACTACCGGGGTTTCGACAAAACGAATGACGTCCTGCAAGCTCTGGATGATCAGATATCTGAAGATTAAATTGATTTATCCAACGCAAACACGGACGGCCGGTAACACTAGTTTTTACTACACCGCGATATGAGTTTCCAGTGCCCCAGTAACAATAGTCATCTATACGGCAAAGTAATTATAAATTTTATTATAAATTGATTATAATATTAATTCATCGTATTATTGATAATAATAGGAGTTGTAATTTTCCGTCTTTATACATATGTAATTCATACTTATTATTGTTGGTATACTTTTATCGTGTCATCCACGCATACTATAATATTCATTACCGTTCAAGCTTTATGAAATCAATTATTATTATTATTATTATTGATTTTCAATGAAAACTGCCAATTTAGCTTGTCTCTTACTTAGGACGAGAGATACGTTACAAAGCAATCGGCGAATAAAACTTTTGCCCCATTACGTAATATCAACCCACTTATAAATAAATTATTATAAATATATTTGTTCAACAATTTGAGATTCTAAATTAATTTGACCATATTAAAGCTTCAACGTTACAACGCACATCACCATTGTTGCCAACAATTACAAATAATAATTAGTAAGAAATCGGCGCTGAAAATTTAACGATAAAAGCGAATCTTGGCCCGATAGGATAGACTAAGGTGGTCGCCACTTACTCTCCTGGACATTGTTCTCCGTGGAGATGCCGATGCTCATGCAGTCGGCGGCCTCGGGCGTATCCTCGCCCGGTAGGTCCGAGCACTCGACAAGCGGCACCTGTCTGCCGATCTCCGGATGCCTTTTCGCGATCGCGTATTCCTTCCTACAGAGGTCGTTCTCCAGCATCTCGCATTCCTTACGACAGATCCTTCGGAGTTTACGGTTTAGGCTCTCCTTTTTCGCGGTCCGCGAGTCGCCGTACGTCGTACTGATGATCTTGTGATTAACACCTGCGGTTATTCCGAATGTTAGCTAGGCTTCTTTCAAAATGAAAGGTGGCTGAATCGTAGGCGTCAGTGGACGTGAGAATTAACGAAATCCAAAAGCGGCGATTCACAGTCACTGATAGTATCGCTAGAGCTTATCGTCTAATGACATTATTACATAGCCAAATGCAGCAATACGTAAGTTTTGATATTTTTCGCAATATACGTGCATTTTGTTTTGTTTGGCTAGTAATCGATGAAATTTTGGGTACGAGAACGGAATCGAACCACTCCAATGAGGATAATTTTTCCAATTAGGATATTTAAGTATTATATCGCGTGAGAAAAATCATAACACAGCAATACAAAATATTTTAGGTTCATTTTAATTTAACCGTCTTCTCGTCGATTTATGACCACTAGATCCATTATTTCCATTATTATATTTATCCAATACAGCCAATATGTTGTTACTAATTTACTATTCCAGCGCTGCATTATATTACACACGCGCGCGCGCGTATAATGTCATAATGGTATTTAAATTTTATGAGTAAACTATGAAAATTACCGAGGAGATAAATATAAAAAATGCCCACCTCGTTCCTTATTGTCCAGCGTCGGGTCGAAGCTCGATCGATACTTGGCACCTCGTTTGCGCGGCACGCCATCCTGAAGTCGGGATAAGTTGTCCAGTTCGTCCCAGGCATCCAGCTTCTCGAACGAGTCCTGCTGATTCGAGCTCTGTAGGTCGAAAAATTGGCTGTTGGGCTTCTGATTTCGCGTCTCTTCCCGGCAAATCGGGAATGTCGAGTAGCACAGTGACGGCTGCGCGTATCGTTCGCAATTCGATGATAATTCGCTGCAAAGGTATGCAAAGATGTATGATAACCTCGGGACTTCTCGCACACCAATGTACGAGGGCACGTAATTTGTGGGGCTGTGTATCGATGGACCGATCGAAGATCCGAACCGTTATGCACTTTGAAAGTTATTTTTAATGTAAACGCGGCTGTGCGAATGAACGGAAGCTCATTTACCGAATGCTTGTATGTATGTGTGTGTCAATATATATATATATATATATATATATATATATATATATCGGTTGCATTTATCGGGATAATAAAGGTTCTTGTATTATTCTCAAAAGTTTAGATAGTCGTGAATAATTCATCGTAAGCTCTGCATCTGCATACAGATGAAAAAAATAGTAAGATTCATAATTGGTAGTATTGTGCTAAAATTTATTAAATTACTTTGGTATTAGATTGTCTTAATCTAAATATTACGGGGGTGTCTTAAAAATTGATAATTATAATTAGAACTAATAAAGGTTACGTAAGTGTTAAAACTATGCTATAAATAATGAACGAATATAAAATTCTTACAATAAAATTGCCTAAGTAAGTGATTTATTAATTCATTACATCAATAAATTGTTTAAAAAATTCTATTGTTAATGAAATTCTGCACACAAATTCAAATTCCGGTCAACATTTAACATCTTAAATATACTGGGATGATCTATTCAAGCCAACACACTAATTGTTATATTATCATAAATTAATTGTAAAATTATCCTATTATTTCGCTCCGACAATTTTATCCTGTTAAGACATCGATCCTTCGACAAATCATTAAAGGCTATTTTAGGGCAAATAAAATATTGTTACTGCTACATTGGGAGGTACTTGAAAAGCCCCCTTTATAAGCATTTTAAATTAAAACAAAAGTTTAAGTACTGATTGTTATGGCAGGTGTTCTATTTCTTATTTAAAAAAAATTAAATAACACTTACTTTGATTGATTAATAACGTGAAAGGCTTTTATAAGTTTTTCTTCTAATAAGCTCTGTGTTATTGGATGAGGAATATAGACAGACTGGTTACCAACAAATTGTGCACAAATCCTGCCAACGTAAAGCTGAAACAGATATTGTTGTCTAGATTAAATTGATAATTGTACACAAAGTTGATATATATATTCAAGGGAATCTACAGATCTTTATCGACTATATGTAATAATAATATAAAAAAATAGACTCGACCTCGTTAGTTCAATCGTTTCGAATCAATCGATTAAAGTTATTCAAATTTATTTAGCTATATTACACAAAAGATTATACAGAAGAGAACGATAAATTGATAGTATCATGCGCTAAGAAGAGAAGTTTGTTTGATGTAAATTGTAACAAGCCTTACTTTTATCCATAAAACACTATCGTCTTATTATGGATAGCACGAGTATTATAAAAAATTTTATTAGCTTTAATTTAAAACCGACCTCGCAGATTCCTTCATGATTGTCTTTGCGTCCCGGAAGTGAAGATGCACCAGGAAGGCTAGCGAGACTAACACCCACTGGTAGTTGCATATTGACATTTTTAAGGCCGCTGATTTCAGTGAGATCTATGGTGCTGGTTTGCGAGCTAGTTGGCTGAGGACTAGGTGGCAATCTTCCAAAGGGATTCGTCGATCCTACCTGATGTGGAGTCGAGCCTCCGCTTCCAGAATTATCAAATTTGTCTCCATCCTCGTTGCTAATAAATAAATAAATGAAACGTAAATAATATTATACAAGGATATTATTAATGAATTGGAAAAAAAATATATAGAATGAAATAAACTACTCAAGTTTATTAGTGATAATAAATTGGACTCAATGAGTTTGCAATATAATAAAAGTAGCTGTTCAAAACATGTGATCGCATTAACAGAATCGTTAACAAACATATTGTAAGCTACTTCCTATGCTGGATTACAAGTATAACGATAAAGTGTAACATGACAATTGTCTACCGTTATGCATTCCTAATAAATTTAAAAGCATCACGAATTAATTATAAAGGCTCGTCAGCTAACAATATGTCGCTCACGCGTTTTGGAATTGTAAGCAAATTAACAGTGTTGTTTACAGTGAGATAAACATAACCTCTCAGCCGAATAAAAATAAAATTCGAAAAATAAAAGTAAGACTAGACAAAGCAAACGAGGAAAATGCAAGTGGTATTTGCATTTACTTATAATAGGGCAAAGACTCGCCAGAAGCCGTCGGAGTATAGAAGAAAGAGATAAAATGCACCGCACTCATTAAATTATACACACGCACTCGGTTGGTAAGGAATCGGATGTGCTCCTGACACTTATCCCTGCTCGTATAAAAATACCAGAATTTAGAAACAATAGTAGGTACGCGAGTAGCTTCATAATTACAACAAAGACAACAAAACATTAAGTATAATATCGAGGCTTGTGTCATTTCAGCGAGTGTTCGGCAGCCATTTCCGGGGACTCGCTGCGACTCAATGTCGACGACGTGAGCGCAAGAGCCTAACTAACTCTCGCTCGTCCTCGTCGCTCTTTCTCGCCTCTTACATCCCAGTATGTTTTGAGCGCCACCACCACGTGAGCAGCCAGGACGTACTGGGGTCGTTGAGATTCCAAACATAGGCGTCCAATGATCTAAGTATAGGAATCGCTTGGATGAGAACTGCAGGCGTTGGGGTGGGGGAACGGGCGGGGTGGCTGGGGCTGGGGCAGCGGCAGGGGCAGCGGCAGGGGCAGGGGCAGGGGCAGGGGCAGGGGTCTGAAGAGACCTCGAATTTATGTGCCCTTTGTGCGCCTCCGTGCCCATATGCTCGCTCGTGCTATTACGGGAGCGTGCACTTGGTGTGCTTAAATTATTATTATGCTGTAATGTTAAGAGGACGGTGGTGTGGTACTAGTACTAGGCTCTATACGTAGTCGCATTCTATTATTCAATTTCTTCTCAATTTCACTTTACGGCCTATTTTTCATTGGATCTTGTTTGTTGGTCCGGGCGTTATTTTTTTTTTTTTTTGTCTATCAACTTAAGTGCCAACTGATCGAAGATATGCGAATTCTTTGATTACGTATTTGTTATGAAAAGGTTTTACAGTGTTGCGACGAGGAGCGAATATTATGAAGGAAATAGGGGGATTATTGGGGTCATTGTGTACGGGGGGTTGGGGGAGGAGGGAATAGAATGGAATACGAAAAAATGATCGAATGCATGTATCATTCGGCTTGAAACGTACATAGGAAATATTACATTCCGTAGCATCGCTACGGATTGGCTGAGGATTGCTTGATGGTGAACAATGACACAATAAGTCGATTTGAATTATCGAATCGCATCTTTTCCAATGCTTCTTAATTTCTAATTGCACGAGTACGTTTGATCCTTTACTTAAATGGCGTCCCCCCCCCCATCACCCCCCATCGTTACCTATCAATCAGTATATATAGTTTTCATGTTGTTTTTCTTCTCCTCCTTCGTTCATCATCAACAACATTAGCAGTATCAAATATCGTATCCATAAAATCACGTATTATATCCTTTACCTTTATATGACTATTTTGCGCAATATCGTGAAAAAGATTAATAATAAGTAATAGGAAAATCATTGTACTTACTCGTCGAGTAAATCTGGTAAATGCGGCAAAATTGGGGAGTAGCTGCCTATAACGAGCGAAGGATTAACTCGATGTCCTCCTGCAAACATGATACATAATAAATCGAACGTTAGCTTTATTAGTAATGAGACTTAAATAAAGAAAAATAATTGAAAAACACAGATATACAAATTTCAATAATCGCAGCATTATAACTTGATTAATGAAAAATTAATTTCCCCCTGTATTATTATAATAATGGAACAATTACGTCAATTACAACGTTTTGCCACTGTACTAAATATATAATAATGTGTAGACTCATACATATATTTCTATTTCACTTTTTAATTAAACTTTTTAATTAAATATAGTCGATAATAATAATTTAATATAATTTAATTCGATGTTGTGTGTTGCACGCATAGAATGTAGATAATAATCGAATGTCGTATACAATTGTCGTTTACTTTGTAGTGGTACGGGGGTGAGGATTTTGCCGTTCGCTCGAGTGACTCTTGATCGAGCAGTTTTCTAAAATCGAGTCGAGCATTCGAGATCGGCATTCTGCGCATCGGACTTTACTAAACAAATTTGATTTTGTAGATTAGCAATGTTTCGACAGACATTCTTCGTTAAAAGTTAATATTACGTGTATCGGCGAGACATGGGACACGAAATTATAAAATGTTTACATTATGTTATAGGTCTTATTGAAATTTTATTTTCATAAGTAGGTTATACTTTACATGTATTTACAATACACACGCGCGCACGCACAGAGAGAGAGAGAGAGAGAGAGAGAGAGAGAGAGAGAGAGAGAGAGAGAGAGAAGATGTTGAAAACGTGCTAACACGATAATTAAAAAGCAAGGCGAAATACGAGACGTAGGAGTGGAAAGCATTAATTTGATGGAAGAGTGATATAAAATTGGCAAAACTTAATCACCGACGCAGATAGCGAACAATGCAGTAATTATCGTTATATAATTAACTAACTGCCCATGAAATTTCGGATATAAATAATATTATGAAAAAGTAAAAAATATTATTGATCGAAAGTGGCCATCGCGTCAATTTATCTCCATGCAGACGGCTTAAATGATATATTGCCGCAAAAAATCTAAAATATTCTAAAGTTTAGTAACTGCAAGCATTAAGTCCAATAATCTTCTTAAGAGTCGTTTAGTTAAAAGAATTTTAACTACGTCTCGTGCGTCTCGTGTTGATATTTATATCCGTGGTAAAAAAAAAGAAAAAAAGATAGAAAGTCGCCAATTATGACGTATTGGCTTATACGCACATTTTACGAAGGAATTTAATCTGTTTTGCAAAATCGCGCAGCTTAGCGGGGTAATTATCAAGGGAGGAGCTGTGAATCTTGGAGATTCGGAGAGAGTAATAAGACAGCGTGCATCCGTTATGTCAACTGTCCAAGTATTCACGTTGAAGAATAACAAAAAAAAAAAAAAAAAAAAAAAAAAAAAAAAAAAAAAAAAAAAAAAAAAGTAAAAATGATTCGCCGGGAGGAGATACGTGTTTTATCATTGGGATTTCGTGCTTTTAAATAGCTGCATTCATTAATTTGCACTTTCATTTCCACGACCACGAGCAATAGTATAATTATACTTTTTCATATTATCGATTTAATACTGAAATTAAACAATTTTATGATCGATACGCCAAAATATCATACAGTGAATCACGCTTGTAAGTTTAAACGAATATAATCATAAAAGCCAACAATTTATGAAATAAAGTTCGAAGCATAAGAACTAAAAAGTACTTACAAATTTTGAGAAATTTATGTATTCCTGTAAATCCTTCTATACGGCACTACTATAAGTCATTTATACAGACATAAATTGTATACAATTTCATTATATATCATAAAAAAAAAAAAAAAAAAAAAAAAAAAAAAAAAAAAAAAAAGACAATGCAAATATTGGACGTGCTAAAAGAATCAAGTCACCTTGGGAGTTCTACAAGATTTTTAATTTTAAATTTTAGATTGGATTCTGCGACACCCAGAGAGGAAGAGAGAGAGAGAGAGAGAGAGAGAGAGAGAGAGAGAGAGAGAGGGGAGATGTCTAGATCGAGAAAGTGGCTACTTAAGTATCCGAAGGCGATTGAACTCTGTTGGTTGAGTTCCAGGCGAATCAGGTGGTCTCAACGGCGACGAGCGAAATTCCAAGCTTCCATGGTTGGATATTTCCTTTGGCATTTGCGAATTTGCTTTGTAAGATCTGCGGGAGATTCGCGGAGTAATTTTCTGGCGAGGCAGCTCCTCCCGATGTTCCATGGGGCATTCTCTGATGCTTCCTCAGGGTAAATCTTATTCTCCTATTCTCGGATCTTTTATACCTTTATAACTTTAGGTTTTCTATAATTTTTCTCGCGTTCTATCGTCGGGTAGTTCTTGTTGTTGCGTCTCATTCCAATCAACCGGCTCTTCTCTATAATTATATAATTATCGCCTCTCTTATTTCTCACTATATTATTTGCAAGAGTCTTCTTCGTCTCCTTATCGACTCCCAACGACAATCTTACGCGACGCTCAAATCATTGTTTACAAATAATAAGGATAATTCTATTAAGCTTATAATTATAATAATAATTCTTAGCATCTGGCTTTGTTTATGTATTATAGTGAAATCTGTCGTGTTACAAAATTTACAAAATTTATGCTATTATTTCAGTGTGCCTTGAAATATTAAGACCTTACAAGGAAAATTAATTAAAAAAAAAAAAAGAAGAAAAAGAAGAAAAAAAAGAAAAAAAAAGAAAAAAAAAAGGAAAAAAAAATGTTGAAAATACGAGGATAAAAGAATTATAAAGTAAAGAAAAATTGTCTGCTTATGAAACAAAATATATTTCACATCATTATTCTTCTTAAATATTATTCTTTAGGTCATTAATTTAAAAATATAGCTCTAACTTATCTTAAAACTTTATGTTGGACTCTTTAAAAAAACATTATATTGATCTTAAGATGGAAGTTATTTTGTTAGGAATAACTGGATGAAATAAAAAATTGTACCTATACGGTGGAAAAAAAAAAAAAAAAAAAAAAAAAAAATTAAAATTAAAATTATATATTTATTTATTAAATAGGGATTTTTATTAAGATTTATGAGGTATAATTATGAATTATTATACATCAATGTAGCTAGGTATAAAGGCATATAAAAGATGTTTTAATAGAATATTTTTATTTATTGAAACAATGTTTTTATCAATTTTCCTGCAAATATGTGAACAAATTATGTTGGTTGCAAATTCATTTGAAATAAAGTTTATATATTAGATAAAAGCATAAGCATATTGTACATGAATTCATCCTTATATATTTTAAAATAAGCAATCAAAATTTTATGTAAAATATATATTAAAAAATAAAAATGACCCAATGGTTGTATAATGTTCAGAAACGCTAATGAAAATCTGATCAAAGTTATCATTTATATGACCTTTTAATTATGTTTTAGTAATGACTAAATGTTGAATATAATAAACTGACAGACTAAGTATAGATATAATTTTATTAATGACTTAACGAAAGTAATATAATTATAAAAGTTAATATACTTTTTTTTTATTTGATTTTTATTTTTCGTTATTACTAAATTATCGGCTTTGGATGAAGTTTCACTCTCTCGCACCGATAATTCCTTGGATTTTCAATTTTTCACAATTGAAAATCTTTATTTCATAATAATTGGATAATTAATATTTTGTTTATTATTTTTAAATGTCTTATCGAGCAATTCATTAAAAAGGTTTTGTAACTGTAGATTATTAGAATAAAATAGATCTTTCGAGTTATAAGTTATAAGTTTATAAGCTTCATTGATAATGATGTTTTATTTCAAATTTCCTTAGTTTATTTTTGCTTAATTCAACA